AAGGGGGGCCGGCTGGAGCGCTGCCTCAGCGCGGCGCTTGCCTAGCGCTTGGCCCCCTTTTCACACATTTTTGAGACTTGTCGGTTTCATCCAATGAGCTGATCAAATTTTACATCCTATGTTGCCAGAGAGGATTATGGGGCAACTTCATGGTGTCGATCACATCCAGGGCGCCGATCCGGGAAGGCCGGGGGGTAGAGTGGAAAGAGCACGGCCCTCGTGAATAGACAGGCACCCGGAATCCCAGTGCCCTCCACACAGTAGGTGCCCAGGAGAAGTGTTTTCCGTGGATCGAAGCAGTAATTTTGTAACGGAAAAAAAAAATTCACATCAAGCATCCCCTCCTTTCCCCCTCAACCGCCGCTTCTTGGGCCTCAGTTTCCCCAAGTGCCCAACAAGGTTGTTGGATTAGGTCGCTGGAAAGCACTTCCAGTCGTGATTTAGAACTTTACTGCTGTTCCTGTAAAGCACCTCTTCCGGGCTACACTTACCAAATTCTAAGAGTTAACGGTCAGAAACGGCATTGATTTTTTTCCCTCTCAGTATTCTTTCAAGGTTTTCTGTCATTAAAAAAAAAAAAGGGTTGGGGGGTTTTCTACGTGGTCTGCTTTCAACTACTGAAAACTCCAGTTTGAAGAAGGGGAAAGAAAATAGGAAAATGAAATCCCAAACGCGGGATTGTCTGCTCTAGTGTAAAATTCAGTGCGTTTCAGGAAAGAAAAAAGTTTACCTAATTTACAACACCCTAAAAATTCTGGCTAGTTAAAACACCATAATAATACAAAAATTAAGCTAAAACGGTATGTGATACATAAGTCTTTTCCTTGGGTTCAACAACAACCCCTTGTAATGATGCACTCCTTTTTCAGTACAGACAATTCCAGACCAAACTGTGTTAGGAGAAGAAAAATTACCACTGAGCTAAGAATAACATCAAAAATGGGAGGAACTAAAGTAATAATTTTTTTAATTTGTGAAAATTTAGAGCTTTGCAATTTTTGTTGTAGAATATTTGCTAAGTCTTCAAAAAGCCTTCCACAGATAAAGGCAACTTAATCTTCTAGCAAAATATGTGTGATAATTCCCAAGTATGAAACTTAGTATATAAAATAAAATGATCTAATCATTAAGCTTTATCATCTTCCTTAAAAGAAATACATGTTTCTAAGTTAAATATAAAAGCGAAGAAGAAGAAGAAGAGGGGATTGTGCCCTTTCTGTGCAAACCGGGCTTTTTCACGATTCATTAAACCCTTTTTCCATATGTGTAATTGGACTCTCCTCATTTACATAAACGAGGGATGAGGCAAAAGACCTAAAACCAGCCCAAAAGGAGAAATAGGTTTCTTATTCTCCTATGTGAAAAAAATACTGTATTTGAAGAAAACTCCAAGAAGACAGAGCCTCCTCCCCCTGCACACACCCACACATCCCAGCCCTGAAACAGTTCACGGCCAAGGAGATAGCGGGCTTGCCAGAGCTTTAAGGTTGTCCTGTACCCAGTGCCTCACAATTATTATCAGAGGCACATGTTTTTATTTGATTCTCTCTAAGTAAAAAACTTGGACTGAAATGACCGACAGTAGGACAACATATCCTATTTTGTCCCCTCATTTTTTATTGGGTTAAAAACCAAGAAGAAAGACTGCAGTGTCTTTGAAAGAGCAAAACCCTCTGCTTGGGCTTGAGTTGTCTGGCTGGTATCCTCCATTCAGTTGGTTTCAGCACCTGATTAATTAGTTAATTAGTACTTAGAGCTGACTAGCCCCGGTCGGCAATTTTCATGCCCTGCATGGTGAAATGTTGAATCCAGCATTGAAATTTCTGTGTCGCACACCCTAATTATTATCACCCGACTACTTGTAAAACCATTGCACCAAATTATTATAATAGACAGAGCCAGACAACTGTGTGGGAATATGTTCTTTCTGAGAAATAATGGTAGACTTAATCAATATTTTTCACTGTTGCCCTTAACACATTTAAATAAAACAATTGAACGGGAAAAATTCTAATTCAATTAGCCTCCAACTCCTTCCACAGACAAAATGATTTCATATGAGAAAGCAGTCAGAAAAATCACACCAAAAATTTTTAATGTTTTGTCAGTTCCTCAGATTGCAAAAAGAGTGTTTGCAAGATATCCTATCCGAGGTTAGTTTTGTTTCAAATAAGCCAAAAATGTCAGGAATAAAAAAAAGAATAGAAAATAGAAACCAAACCAAGTCAAAAAGAAACCCAAGATCACTTTAACTAGCTATAAGGAAATGATGCTTGCTATCTTGTATGCATTTGGAGTAGGGGGACTTTTGATGTTTAAAATACTGACATGGTTTAGGAATGAGTTCTCTATGGGGAAAAAAAATTCCTTGGCTGCTGCCCCATTCTTCCATAAATTTGATGTCGTGGCTCAGGTATTTTTAAATATCAAGGGAAAATTAGTTTTAGGAAATACATTAGGACACACAGCTCGGAGTCTAATTTTTGGCATTTCTCAATGTACCATTACCAAAAGGGGACCCAGTGCATCAGTGATTTTCAATATTACTGGTAGCTATTTTCACCTGAAACAATCCTTATATATCGGTTAGTGGGTTGCCTGTAATTGTTAAGAGCTAAATGGTACACAAAACTGGATACACAACCACACAGATCAGTAAATGGGTCGGACTGAAAGCAAAAGTAAACACCAACCTTAGGAAATGAAAGAAGTTAAAAGATAAGTGTTAAGGACCTTATTCTTTTTGGAGAATAAAACAAGATTTAGTAGCTTTCCACTTAATTTAAATGAAAAGAATCACTACCTTACATATTGCAGTGATAATGTAATGGGGAAAGAAAACAAAAAAGTCTTTGTACAAATGACACCTCCTATAGTTGTTGTGAAGAAACTTTTCCCCTTGGTATCTGCTAACAAATTCTAATTAATGCTGCACATTCCTTTACTGAAATCATTTAATGCGTAACAAGGGGGGTAAAAAGAAATGCTGAATGCTCGTGATTGCCCTGTTAGAATTATGGGAGTGAAAGCCTGGGGCCCCAAACTTACTGTCTATTAAAGCCAAGCTTTGAAAAAGAAATGCAACCTACAAAAGCTGTCAATCTCCCTTGCCCCTAAAGCCTGGGTTCACATGGATTCAAGTGACAGCCCTCCTCCCCCATGCACAATACATCAATCTGTCTCTCCCACAAGCACCCACAGCCCATTGTGCTGGCCGCAGGTGCCTATTATGGCACCCATGGCTGCCTCCCACAGCTCCGCCCCTGAGAAACAGGAACTGCAGACAATGGAGCCCTGTGGGAAGACAGAGGTGGGTGTTGGGAGGGATAACAGACAGATGGTAAAGGGTATAGGGTAGTAAGGTAGTTTCAAAACAAATGTCAAACATTCAAAATTATTGCTTTCGCGTGTCTCCCCTTTTGAATTGCCTTCGCTTCAATCACCATCTGCCATAATTATAAAAACACTTACCTGTTATAATGAATATTTGCTCCCCTTTTTGGGTAGCTGGGGAGGGGGGTGACCTTCAATACTCTAGTCCTCCTGTTTAGCCCTCTAGGTTTCTCAAGGTCATAGCCTGAGGAGTTTTAGTTAAGTGATACCACTAGACCATATAGAGGAAAGAAAGAATATTTCTTATTTTGGGGGCAAGGTTTGTCATTTCCCTTCAGGCTTAGTTTTGGGCTCCTTAAGGGGCAGGGGTTATAAAAAGTTATTATTTGGGGTAATTGTGAAATCAAAGTATTATGAGACTTCTTACAAATGCTATATCAGGCAGGTGGAAGTTCTTAGGCCATTTCTTTTCTGGTAAGGAGTCACAGAAAAGGAGACGAGGTGGATTTAATAATAAAAGTCCTGAAGGTTTCTGACTCAGCCTCTTTTCCTATTTCCAAACATGTTAACAAATATAAGTAAAAAATTACTGAATGCTATTCACATCAAGTGCCACTATCAGAAAAAGCACATTTTAAAGATGTCCTTCCATAAAATGTCACTTGTCTATGGTGTATTTAACCTTCTGAGTTATGGGCTAATTAAGAAGCAATAAATGGAGGAATTAAAATATATTCCCAAAACACATATTCATTCAAGGAATTTGATTTAGTTGCTTTTGCCCTTAATTTATCATCCCAATATATCACCTAATTCCTGCTTCCAAGATAATTTGTCATAAATTAAAACTAACAATAATTTCATCACTACTACTACTACCTGTCTCAAACAAAAAGCAACCAAGAAAAATCTGCCACAATTGTAAGTCACGGTCAAGAAGATTGGTGACTTATTGGGATGAGGGTACTGCCCAAATAATGCCAGGGACTAAACCCAGCCAGTTTTCCTGAAGCAAACAAGAGGGTCTTGGTTTGCTGTCAAAAACTACAAACTAGGCTTTAACTAGGGACTGTCAGGGATCCAAGTCAGCTCCTGGCCAGGGAGAGCTTAATTAGCAGAGTTGGTTTGGGTTTTTAAATTACACAAGAAAAACAACCAATACAGAATGAAAGCATACAGTGGTCTAATGTAGCACAAAATTCACTATTCCATTATGTGTGTGTGTAGTGATTCTGCACATTTTGCTAACAATTTAAGTTTCAATTTTAAACATTATTTTTGTGCCCATTGCTAGAACATGTTTCTTCTGTTTTCTTCTTATGCATCTTTTTAGAGATTCTAATGTATTTATCACCACATACAAACAGGCATGCCCCCTCTTTTTTATATAAATAGTAGCATACTACGTATACTTTTTTTTACTTGAGATATCTTGGAGATTAGTCCATATCAGAACATTAAGAGCTATTAGGGCATACTTCTTAAATGCAAATAGTT